TTGGAGGTTGGCTCAGGGAGGAATTGCTCACCGGAAAAACCACTTGCAAATGGGCTTGCTTTTGCTGGCTGTGTGCAGAGAGGCTTCTTGGCGTGAAGGGCCAGGCCAGGTATACTTCGTCAGTAGTGGGAGCAAGAAGACGGCAAGGTTAGCTGGGCAGCGGAATGCAGGACGGCAGGGGTCTCAGATGATGAGGGCGAGTGCAGCTGGGACTGGCTGGGGCGACTGCGGCTTCCCAAGGCATGGCAAGCAGCTCCAGAGCCAGGCAGTTCTGGGACTGCTTGCCGCCCTGCAAGGCAGGGTGAAAGGTGGCCAAAAGGGCAGAGATGGGGGGAAGATAAGTGGGTGGGGAAAGGTGCCACTGTGTGTAAGTGCGGGTGGGCTGCCAAGTGCCCGAATTTTGATCACATGACTGGGGGGGCACTGCAATGGCCGTAACTTTGACGACCAGCTGTCACTTTTTTCAGTGCTGTCATAATTTTGAACAGTCACTGAACGAATGGTCATAAATCAAGGACTACCTGTACTTTGTTTGTCCTTGGCGATAAACACAAATAAATACCACAATGTTCAAAGAAAATGGTAGCTATGATGGGTCTGAAATTGAGTGTTGCTCTCCTACTACTTATCTTACTTCAGTCTTTGGGGAAAAATGAGATTTATCCACAAAGTTGTTTGGGGCTTCAGATGGTTTCAAACCTATATTAAAGTTGAACACAGGTATGCAAAGTAAAAGTGCATTGGAGCCACAGTGAACACCTCTGAAACTGAACATAGTATCAGAGACTATATCTTATTCCTCTTAGGTATGATACGTGGTATGTGAAGTTCTGCAAAACAGCTATAATCTTCCACAGATGTATAATAATAACAGCTGAGAGATGCAGCAGTGGTATCCTACACAATCCCATACGCCTCCTCAAGCTTTTCTTAAATGTGTTGGGAAAAGCAAAGGATCAACTGCTACATAAAAATAAATTGGTTCCAAGTATACTCATTCAAAATTGTGGATTCTTCTTGTCTTGTACAGATTACAGAGTACAATACTACAGCATTACAGATCACCAAGATCTTCCAAAGAACTATACGATGTATTTGGATACCATGGTATTCTTCTGAGCAATTTTTGAGAGGCGGTGCTTTAAGGCAACATTAGTATCAGATATCTTTCTCTGTGTTGTTGTATCAAATTAAATGTAGTAGGATATCTGCTGTTGATCCAAGATAACTCTCTTCCTGAGCAAGTATGCTAGGTCCCACTATTAAGGTTGTTTCATGAGATTATTGACTGGCTTTTTCAGAAGGTTTTGCATTTGCCTCATTAGATGAATTTCTTTCTCTGCTATTTTGCTAATATTATCTGATAAACACTATTACAGTGTTTCAAATTCTGGTTGTTCTATGTGGCTATTTCTACACTTTCCAACATTTAAACAAAATATTATTTTTAGTTGCTCAAAGTGTATCATTCTTTAGAATGGGATCATTTAAAATAAAACAGATAAGAAATACATTCTAGCTTCATTGTTATTAGTCATAACCACTGCCCACATTTTGCTATTCAATTTCCTGATTACTGACTGCTGGTAAATTGTGAAATAATATTATTTGTTGCCTTCACCCCTTATTAATTGGTTAAGATTATTTGATTCTTTGACACTAAATTACAACCCAGCCATAAAGTATTAAATGTTGTTTATGTTCAGCTGAAAGCAACAATAAACTGCAGCTGAATTCAGATATGATCTGCTTGTCTAAATTTATGATGTAAGATAGTTTGTCAGAAGGATGGGGAGAGGGAAATGAAAATGTTAGATGCAAGCATCACATTTTTAGATGTTTATACAAAAAAAGCCTTTAGTACCTTACCATGTGCACACAAGATACATAAAATAGTCTAAAAACATTTTTAATATGCACTTAATTTTTATCTACTGTATATCTGGAATTTTATGTAATATTAAATATATGTCATGAGTCTGTAGATTTATTTTGCTATTGCAAAGCTAAACTTTTCTTCAGCTTGTCAAAACAAATGCTCTAAAACTTATTAACAAATGGTTTCTACATGTCCAACTGCAAAATTAATAATACACACGCACACATCTACAAATAATATCAGCAAATATCACAAACGCTCATACTAACTCAGTTCTGACAACCAGTAATTATTCTAGTGTCCCTAAGGTTTCTTCATGAATAATAGCACAGTTATGGCTTGATCAACCTGTCAGTGGTCAGTCTATTCAAAGAATCACGACCGACTGGAGTTTCTGTATACAAATCAATTGCCTCATAAGTCTGAAAATCGTTTTAGTAATATGACTGTCATTTTACTAGGCTTTCAGCAAGCTGGTAATAAATACTTGACAGTATCACAGTCTTTTAGAGACAGTGAACTTCCTCAAGTAGCCATATTCACTATTTTCCCAAATACTAAAAAAATAATAATAACACCCAAACCCTATATGGCACGTGTCAGGAAATGCAGGAGCAAAACAATATATCAAATAGGAAATGAACAGGCATGACAGCTGATGTAGAGATAGCCATCTGAAGCCTCACTGTGATTTCCCCTCAGCTGATGACTGCCAGATCAAGGTCAACCAAAATAAGTCTTAGCACATAACACTTAAAAGCAGTTGTTGTTTCAGCGCATTCTCCTCTGTATATTTGTGGAGTTTTTCAGTGGCCACAAGTAAACCTGTGAGTCATGCTTTTGAATAGTTCATTAGTATTAGTTCACTATACTCATGAAAGAAACACACCCTGTCATTACATTAGGTGCTGCAGTACAGACGAAGAGGGCCATATTACTATTTTACATGCTACTACTATTAAATGTTTGTCATCCGTCAGTGTTCCAAAGCACAACCCTAGTCTTTTTGGTTGTTCTTCAAATTATTTGACTCCTTTCTTTATCTTTAAGTAGAGAGCTTTGTTCATCTCTCTGATAAGAATATATAATTGGGTCAATGCTTATTGGTGGGACTGGCAGAGCTGAACTGAAACTTCTTACAAGGTGGAAACGTCCAAACCAGGGGAAGGTTATCTAGTGTGTTCCATATATTTTGGCTGTCATTTTCCACAATCTCTCGCTTCTGGCTTTACTGAATGGAAAGCTGAAGTCCAAATATCTGGCTACCCTTAGACTAGCCATATTTTAGGTGGGGGGGAAAGAATGTCTGCATCGAAACATAATCATGGAACGAAATAGCTAAAATATAAAGACAGTAGTAATAATGGGTATTAGGCTTCAAAACATTAAATAGCAAGCAGCCCATGCCATCCTGCCTTCATTTCTGAGCCTTGAAAACTTTAAACCAAAACAAGGAAAAAAACAAAAACAAAAACAAACAACAAACAACAAGCAACCTGGCTCTGTATCTCAAGGACAGAACCTATTTCCTAGACCTTTCCTCCTGGTATTCCAAACTCCCAGGCTTGGACAACCTGATTAAATGGCATGGATTGTGCCATGGTATATTATGGGAAAACAGGAACATCTACAAATTGGACAAAGATGAGTCATGTAAGTGGACACTCTTCTTTTCATCCATCTCCCTTTTTGTATCTATTTATACTTAATGAAATCCTAGAAAACCTTAACAAATGTAATAAGCCATTTTGCTACAGAAAAGTAACATTATAAAAATCTGAAGTCTTATGTTTTCTTAAAAAGGGATAGTGCATTCATGGGCTGGATCTAATTTCCAGCATAACCTATTTTGATGGAGGAAGAGAGATTTTATGCATCTTACAAATATTTCTTATTGTACATTATTTTCAACAGAAACAGTAATGCACACTTGAACACCCATTTTTCTGTTTAGGTTTTTGTTTGTTGAAATTCATTAAACTTCTGAAAATTTAGCAGTATGCCATTTAAATTTGCTAGAATCTATTCTTGGTTTTCCAGTCACAAAGGCTCTTGTCTCATATTATAAGAAAAAAAGGCAAACTTGCATTTCACATATTTTCCATTTATTAATATTTTAAATATTAAGCCCTATTTTCTTAATAATTTTAACAATACAAAATGTACAGACATTTCTTCAAGGAAACTGAGGAATATTTGAATGTAATGTTTCATCATCTATATTAGACAAACAGCAATAACATTTTTTCACTGGGAAAAAAAAAAATGCTCTTCCAAGAAGGCTGGAAGATAATTTGGTTAACAAGTAGAAAGTGACCCCTAAATTTAAAAACAAAATCAGTAGATAATCCAAAGATTATCTTTTCCAAAGATGTTTAGGTAAGAAGTATGCTTATGTTATGTTTTTTTTTTTATCTGCGCTCAGTCGTTACCGACTCTGCAGTGACTGCTTTTGGATGAGTCCTTGCAGTTTTCAAGGCAAGGTGTTTCGGAAGTGGTTTGCCAGTGCCTCCTTCCTAGATCAGAGCCCAGCTGGCGTGCGCAGGAGGCGGGGTTTCCATTGCTTCGCACCTTTTTCGGGCGAGCGCGCTACCGGCAACTGCTCCCGACTCCTTTTTGCAAGGCACCACATTTTTCCTCCCACCAGAGTGAGAGTACCCATTTATCTATTCACGTAATTTTCGAACTGTTGGGTTGACAGGAACTGGGGGAGGAAGCAGGAGCACACTCTGCTACATGAAGGCTGGGCTTGAACCGCTGAAGTGTCAACCATTTCTGGCCAGCAACTTTCAGCGTCATTAAGCCGCTGCGCCACCACGTCCCTCTTATGTTATGTATTGTAGCACAAAGATTCGGAGATATATAACATATTAGCAAAACATTTTTGTAGTTTTCAGCTTGCTTTCACCATACGTTCAGTGAATCCTCTGAATAAGCAATTAATATGAAATTGTATCTCAGTATAGTACACTGTTTATTTCTATATTTAAATTACTTATGACTGTAAATTTAAGATCTATGCACTTTCCTATAAGAACTGGTACAGCTAGATTTTTTTTAAAAAACATAATAATAAACCACAGCATTTGTAGCAAACAACAAACCCAATGGAAAATATTACCTTTAGCTGGATTTACTTTAATCCCTGATTTATACAGCATCTCTTCATTCTGCCAGTCCCCATTCCTGACAAATGTCTTCAGTCCATAAAAAAAAATTAATGCAGCAGTGGCCAAAAAAATCAAGTTCTTCAGAAAACGCTTTTGTACTTTGACATAGAGGGCTCTTGTGCCCACAGTGATCAAGAGGCAGAAGCCCATACTAGGTATATACAACACACGCTCTGCTATCACAAAGCCTACATAAAAAAACAAGTTTGTGGCAGGAATAAAAGGAACAATTAATAAAGACAGTGACAGAACCACAATATTCTCAGTTGACGGGATGTGTGGTCTTTGTGGCAAGCCTTTGTTAATGCCATTTTCTTCTTTAGATGCAAAAGTGGACTTCAACTCTTTGTATTCTTTATATTCCAGTTCAGATAGGCAGTTATGACCATTGCCATTAAATCTGCCATTTGTTATATTTTTCCCATTGCATTCTCTTTCCATGCTGGAATTTCTCAAACTGGTATAAGTAAGGAGGAAGAGTCCAGCATAAAAGGCCACTGTGTATAGGTTCCGCCAGTCACTGATTGTTTTGAGAAGAGGCACGGCATCCATGGACCAATCAAAGCTAAGCGTGTCCGGGCACAACAGTAGCCAAAGGTTTTTGGTTGGCAAATAAAAAAAGGTCAGAATTCGCGTTAAAAAACTGTCTGAGTCAGCTGCTGGGTTGTCAGAGTTGGAGAAGCTGGGAGGTTTGTTCCCCATCCAGTAGAAGCGAAGACCCAGCAGTAAAGCTCCCCAGAAGATCAACAAACCAATGCTCAAAAGAAGAGGCAAATTCTTCCTCTGCAAAAGAGAAAAAGGGGGAAAAAATGATACTTTACCTTTTCAAATTGCTAAGACTGTGAGATTTTTAAATAAAAAGTTATTTAATCCGAACCTAAGGGAACTTTATGTTCTTGGAAACTTTATATTCTTGGTTCAGACTTCTGAGCTACAGTAATATTTTATGTTTAAAATTCATTCTACATGCTTTTATTCAATTTAGGATTGTTTTCTGCTGCTAAACTTCCATTGTAAAACCAGATAATAACACTGCAACATCTCCCAAGCGTCCTCATTTTATTGATTTATTTATTGCAAAAGGTCACTATCTCAATATGAATAAAATTATTTTGGAAGTAACTGCAACCGTGAGATTTTATTATACAATAGTTCTCACTTATTTCAGCCTGCTTTGCAACATTGGGACATACTGTATCTGGAGGACATGAGCTCTGAAAGGTTGTTTCTGGGTTTACTTCTGTTATTTATACTATTTTTGTGCAAAACTAAATTTGCATTTGCAGTAATACAATTGCAACCAACATATTGACAATATCTCATATCCTTTCAAGTTCCTTAAGAGCTTATTTTCTACTACATATAGATAGAAGATGGTCACCACTTTCAGCTTAATTATGCTAAATTGTTTACCTTTCGGGGAAAGTCTGGAGCATCATGAAAATAACAATTTTAGCTGCACCAAACTATTGTGTAGAATGCAAGATACAAGAACAAGATCACACTAATGACTAAAAGTACACTTTAAAGCATACCTTTAATTTATTTCTGGCAGCCTATGATATATTGTCATTTGTTTGAACTACTCTATACCATTCATGGTAGATATGGTTCATGCATATTATTATTATTATTATTATTATTATTATTATTATTATTATTAATAATAATAATAATAATAATAATAATAATAAATAATAAAAAAACTAAACTAAAAAATACTAATA